GATGCTGATATCTTGATTCCTATGTTCAGGAGCAAGTTTCTTACCTTTCATCCCTTCATCCCCGCCTCCTGTCTCCTATCTCAATAATATCTACCACATTAGCACACTCCTTTGCTAAGCACCAAAGTTACCCCCTCCACTCCCCAACTACACGAAGGGGTCCCCAATAAGTTTAGTACCTAACTATTCTAAGTTCATGGGATAAAGGGCTGGTATGGGTTATCAGGCTCCCCTGTCCATTTCCCAACATTTAGTCACTAATACTTGGAAATAAATAGTTACATGATAAACATTTTGTCTGTACCACTAAAAAGTGAAAGCAAAACCCAACACACAATTCATTTATGCTCCAGTGAGATTTATTGAAAGGTAGGAGTTATTGTATAGATGAATTACAGCCTGCCAGATCTCCAATGAATGGTAAGTGTTGGGAGCACGCATACTGCCCATGACCTCGTTGGGTACTTCTAAGTGAAGGGCACACAACTCTGGGATCAAATGAGAGAATATTTGTAAATTGATTAACATGATGCCTAGTACATAGAAGATGCTTAATAAATGCTTGCTTCCTCCTTTGTTTCCCCTCTACCCACTTCCCCCAGGGCCTGTAGAGATTCTTTTGATCCTTTGACAGTTTTCTCCACCTTGCTACAAGTACCAGTATCAGTGTGAGGGTCAAAAGAGAAATCTTTAGCAATCTTGGAATTTGAGGCTGTATTTATCAATAAAGGCCCATGCTCTTCAAATTCTTGAAAATTAAAAAGCACTAATTGGTCATGCTTGAGCTTATGGATAGTCTTTTTTTTTTCTTTTGATTGCTAATTGGCCAGCGCACATGAGCCTAGCAGGGGGCAGTCTCTTCCAAACTTATGATTGGTTGTTGGGATAATTTCACCTCAGCACATATCCAAGACTCTCCAAGGCCTCAGATGAAGGTGCTTATTGTCCAGGGGAAACTGTGATGGGCTAGTTCTCATAATTAACCTAAAGATGATACATAGTTAGTAGCACTAGAAGCCAGTAATTACCTCAGGATGGTCTGTCTCCTTAGCTTAGATACTAATAAATATTCTGAAAATGATCCTGACAGAAACTACTGTTATCTTAGTCTGGGGGTGAGGGGTCAGTAGGTGAAGTAAGACCTTTTGCAGAAGTTATGAGAAAAGAAGAAAAAACCCCACCCTGGTGAACTTTTGAAAAAACAAATTTATGAGACTACAAGCAACTGTGCTTAATTCTTAAGATGCAAACAACAAGGATTACAGTAAACCATATTTTAAAAAATATTCATCTACATAGGGAAGGGAACAAACATTTATTAAGTACCAGCAGGTTATGTGCCAGGAGTTATACTAAATGCTTTACAAATATTATCTCATTTGAACCTCACAAAAAACTTTGTAAATAGGTACTATTATTATGCTTGTTTTACAGATGAGGAAACTGAGGCAGACAGAGGTTAAGTGACTTGCTCAGGTTCACACAGGCTAAATCTGAACTCCAGTCTTCCTAATCTCTGACTAGGAGTGTTCTAAATGGGGGTTGCATTTACAGTTATAGTTTAAAACATCAATATCAATAATTGGATTGATCCATCAGTTAGCCTTCCTTCTACAGGTAGAAAATGATAAATTAATAGCACCTGAAACCTTGAGGTGACCAACATCAGTCAACAAAGGTCTTAGCTAATGGGGAAAAGGGGGTATTGAGTAAGTTGACTCACAATCTTCTCCATTAACTTCTGCCCACTTACCAAGAAAATTGAGGCCATTCACCATGAGCTTTCTTTTCTCCCCCTCTCATTACCTGCTATAATTCCCCAATTATTCCGCCTTTTCTCCAGTCTCTTTTGAAGAAGTGGATTTTTTTCTCTAGATGAGGCCTCTATATGTATCCTGGATCCCATCCCCTTGTGCCTTTTTCAGAAGATTAGCCTAATTATTATCTCTTCTCTCTCTAATACTCAATCTCTTTCTTTCTGTCAACTTCTTTCCTGCCCCCTACAAACTTGACCAACATGCCCACAACCTTAAAAAACCCTCACTGGAACCTAACATCCCCACTAACTATTGTCCTACATCGCTTCTCAGCTAAACCACCTGAAAAAAGTTGCATGTAATCAGTGCCTCTATTTCCTGTACTCTCATTCTCTTCTAAACCCTCTGAAGGCTGATTTCTGATTTAATCACTCAGCTCAAACTGCTCTCAGTTGTGTCAGAGATGGGACTCAGACCAAGTTTTTCCTGACTCCAAGTCCAGTTCTTTATCCATTACATCATGATTACGGGAGGGACTGTAACAGAAAGAGATGGAAATGGTCCCTTTTAGACATGGGTGATGGCACGAGCAAAGACTTGGAATGGGAGGAATTCAGATGAGACTAGGGGACAGAAAGCAGCTGAGTTTGGTTGGAACACTGGGCACGTGAAGAGGATTAGTTTGAGAAACGTCTGGAAAGGTAGGTTGGGGTCAAATTGAGCAGGATCATGAATGCCTGCATCAGTCAAGTCAACAAGCATTTATTAAGCACCTACTGTGAGCCAGGTACTGTATTTAGTAATAGGCATAGGGATACAAAGAAAGGCAAAAGCCCTTGAGGAGCCCACAGTTTAATAGAGGAAACCACATAAAAACAACTACATACAAACAAGATACAGGATAAATTGGAGATGATCTCAGAAGGAAGGCTAAGATTTAAGGAGGTCTGGAAGCCTTCTTGCAGAAGGTTGGTCTTTATCCCAAGAGACAGAGATAAAGAAGAGACAGAGTTCTGGTCATGGGGAACAATGAATGTAAATGCCCATATTTTATGCTTTGTTCAGTAAGCAATGGGGAGACACTGAATTTTTTTGTTTGTGTTGTTGTTTTATAGAATGTCATTAGTGTATCAGGAAGATCATTCAGTCTATTGAGGAAGAAAGAAACACAGAGGCAGGTAGACCAGTTAGGAAACTACTTCAAAATTTAAGTGACAAGAATTGAGGGCTTGAACTATGATTATTGCAGCTAGATCAGAAAGTGCTAACTCTTTACAAGAGATGTTATAGAGATAGAAATTAGAACCCAGGCAATAGACTGAATGTTTCTGATGAGAGCAAGGGAAAATCAAAGATAACTCCAAGGTTATGAACCTAGATGACTAGAAACATATTGGTTACATTGAGAAAAAAAGAAAAGTTAGTTGGAAAGATAAGGTTACTTTTTTTTTTGTCTTGTTTTGTTTTGTGGAAAGAAATGATTATGATGCAGTTTTGAAAGCGTATTATTTGAAATGCCAATAGGATATCCAAGTGGAGATGCTTTTCAAGAACTTGGAGAGCACTAGCTTTCTTGGCTTTAATTTCATTATCTGCAAAATGAGGATACTCTGTGTCCTAAATAATCTATAGACTAATATTGTTAGTTTGAGATAGGAGACTGGAGGGCAGGGAAGAGATTGGGAACAGAAATAGAGATTTGGAAGTTAAAGCAAAGGTTAGAATGAAATGGAATAGATCATGTTTATTGGGAAGAGATAGGGAGCCAGAAAGAGACACCAGAGGTTCAGTCAGAGAGGTAGATGGAGAATCAGGCAAATGAAGTAATTGTGGTGGGCAAAGGAGAACAGGAAAATGCCTTGAGATGAGTCTAACAGGGGTGAAAGATGGATTAGAAGTGGGAGAAAGTGGTGGTAGAGAATGATGAGATTATTTTAGGCTGTGGGCCCAGAAAAGATTGAAGGAGGGTGGTAACAATAGGAATGGAAAGGAGAATTTAATGACTGGTAATCCTTTTCAGATTTCAGACTACTTGCTGAACTAGATTTAAAAAGAGAAATTGGAGAAAAAAAATTATTTGGCCCAAATTTTTTAGGAGAAGGATATTTTGCTTGTTTGGGGTTTTGTATCCTTTGTACTGTAATTTACAGATTACCAGACACATCATCCCCATCCCCATCCCCATCCCCATCCCCAACCCCATCCCCAACCCCATCCCCATCCCCATCCTCATCCTCATCCTCATCATAGAGTGCCTTAAGGTTTGCAAAGTGTTTTACATACATTTTTCTCTTAGCCTATAAGGTGTATGAGGAAACAAGATTGAGAGAGAAAAGTTAAATGACTTGCCCAGGGCTACAGGGCTATTAAGAGTCTGAGGTAGAATTTGAACTCAGGTCTTCTTGACTCGTAAATCCAGCGTCTAGTCATTGCATCACCTAGCTACCGTAGTAAACACTGAAATGAAATGAATTGAATTTTTAATTTAAATAAATTTAAACACGGGTTGGTTGGTCTTCTGGTCACGGTCTTTGTTTCACAAAGACATAATGGAAAAAGAATGACTCACAAAGAACAAAATATCTTAACAATGGTACCTTCAGTTGCATTGAAGAGGAAAAAAGTCCCAAATCTGATCGTTTATTTAGTTTATTTAATAAAGGCATACTCTAACATACTTCTCTTACTCATCATCTGTGAAACACTGACAAGAGAAAGGGAGATTTACAGTTGAGTTCTGGCCATACAGAGACGGGAAGGAAGGGTCAGAGGAACGGGAAGAAGTTGTTAGGTTGGGGGGGTTAGAGAGGAAAGTTTCGGGGAAAGGGAATCAGGGAAAACATGGGAAAAAAGAGTTGAGGAAGAGACCAGAGGAGAGCTAAAGATCAGAGAGGCGTGGGAGAGGGAAACAGGAGGATGATTCCAGCCAATAGGCGTCGGCCAAATTGTTTCGCTCTTGGAAACTGAACTGGACGCCAGGATGGAGCTCCTTCCTGTGGCGACCCCCAGGAGTGGGTCTAGTCCCCGCCGCCGCAGGCCAGTGGTTGGTGCTGACTTAGGGGTGGAGAAGGTGCAAGAGGTGTAGGGTACAGGTAGAGAGCGCTATAACCTCAGCCTCCAAAGGCTGCAGCTACAGCAGCAGCAGCCACGGCGGGCGCAAGGCCAGGTTCCGCCTCTTTTCCCCCCCACTCCCCGTCGGCTCCCCTCGAGTTATGTCATCGTGAAGCTAGAGAGAGACACACACACAGAGACAAGGAGCGCTTTCGCTTCAGTAGGCTCTGTGCGAGGCTCTCCTGGGTCAGTCTCTTACCCCTAGCCGCGTTGTGACTTGGTGGCTGCCCATTAAGGAACAGCGCCAGTCACATTTCTCTCCCAAATCCTCCTTTGTCTCGCCACTTTTTCTTCGGAATTCCAGTTTTTCTGGGTGGCTCGTTGAGAAGAGGGTGTTCCACCGTTTCGCTTTCTGGCTGGAAGACTACAGAGTGGTGAGGAGAGAGCCGGCGGGCCAGTCTCCTCTTGTCACCGGAGAGCGGGGAAACAATTTGGGCCGGAGCGGGAAGAGGGGGGCCGCGGATCTTTCCCGGCTCCCCCGGTGGACGCCTGCAAAGCTGCCTGGACGCAAAGAGGAGACGGGAGCCGCCGCCCGGACCGTACCGGCTTCGTACTCCCCAGAGGACTGGGAGCGAGGAAGAGATCTCTATCCAAGGGGAGCTCTGTCCACGGGGCAGTGAAGTGCCCTTTGCGCTCGGGGGAGCCAGGCTTCCCTCTCCCAGTTCCCCGAGCGCCCCGCGCCGGCTCTCCTTTATCCCCTTTGCTTCCTCCCCCGCGGGAGAAAGGCCAATGCCGCCTCAGCAGGGGGAAGCGGAGTACATCAGCAAGCCAGTGCCGGGCTGCTGCAGCTGCGAGGTGCCGCCCGTGCCCCCGCGCCGGGTGCGCAGCAGCCGGGGCGCAGCAGCCGTCGCCCTCGGAGCAGCCCTGGGCAACCGCTGCCGGGCTGGGGGTGCGGAGCGGCGGAGCATCAAGTGCGTGCTGGTCGGGGACGGCGCGGTGGGGAAGACGAGTTTGGTGGTGAGTTACACCACGAATGGGTACCCCACGGAGTACATCCCTACAGCCTTCGACAACTTCTCGGGTAAGGCAGGAGTTGGAGACCGGGCTCCAGGGAGCTCGTGTTTTTACTGGAGAGGAAGAGACGAAGAGCAATGTATTCGTTGTTATAAATGAGTTATTAAGAAGCAAAGCTATCAAAGTGATTTCTTCTGAGGGGGCGTGTGGGTGTTGCTGTCCATTCGATAGAGAAATGCCGTAAATTAATCATGCTACTGGCTTCCACCACCTCGAGGGAAGGCATGTTTGGAGGAAAATGTAAGGAGGTTATCCCGGCTCCCCAAACTTGTTGGGGTGGAAGTCAAGTGCATACAGAAATTTAAGAAAAAAAAAAAGCTTGGGGGAGGGAGTAGTCCCTGCGATCTAGCCTAATTTTTAATGAGAGGAAGAAACAAATTAAAAAGGGAAACCTCTGATTGCCAGTATAGTTGTCCTGGGGCGAAAAATGCTGAGTCCGGGCGAAACCTCCTGGCGCCTGGTTTGAAAGTTTTAATTGGAGGGTGATAACTGGGTGTGCTGTTATCAGCAGGGCCTGGGACTTTCAGTCCTTTCTGGTGGTGTGCCTGACTTTGTGCTGGCTGAACTTTAAAGCGCCGTAGAAACTGCCAGATAAGGTTTAATTTGCATCAAAATAGCACCAATCACAACTCACAAATCCTCTTAGCCGAAATTATTCACGGGTGTGGGCAGGTTTTCTTTCTTCCTGGCCTTCCTCCCCATAACAATAGCAAGGTCTATTTCCGATTTTAAGTATCTCTTTAGTTTACTTCTCGCCCCAACCACGCAGTTCTTAGAGGGTCTGTTGATGCGTAGGTAAACTCTCTCGTTAATTACAACCTTCTTTGTGATTTTTCCTCTGTCTTTGTCACTTTCTGGAAGTTTTATGGTACCCTTGAAGAGTGTGTGATTAGCAAACGTTTATTGTAGTTTTTGTTCTTTCTGCACTCACTCCCTTAACGACCCACTTTTCCGAGCTATTAGTAACTCGTTGTGGTGAAGAACGGGCAATTTATTAAGCCATCAAGACAAACTGGATGGACATTATCTGAAGTGATTTTTTTAAAAAAAATTAACAATTGAATTTTCCCCCTTTTCCTTCCTGTCTTCCTACCCAATTGATGGTAGGATCATTTAAAACCAATCTAGAATTCATCATCGTTGATGAAAAAAATTCTACCAAGGCTTGTTGGAATAAAAAAGAAAAAAAAATCTTCGAATCCTGGTCAAAAGGTGAACTGTTTTTTAAAAAAATCCCTTATTTGAACAGAACGAAGAGATAAGCAGAAACCTCTTTTATAAACAGAACAATGCAGGTAGCTGCTGTTTGCACATGGTCTCCAAACAAGCTTGAGTTTTGTGATAAACTCTGCAGTCAGAAAATTTTCCCAAGGGAAAACAAAAATATTTACTGTGGCTTCCCAGTGATTTAGAGCAGTGAGGTTGATTCCCACTTACCCCCAGCCCTCTCTCACACCACCCCCCTGTTGTTTTTAAGTCTTTCTGAAACATAAATGTGACAAGAGAATAAATCCTCTGGACCTGGAGGAAAGGGCTGTGTCTCTTTTGGTCTCATCAAAGGGTTGTCTTTCCTTCAGTGATTTGCTACTTCATCAGCTGCACTGAAGTGAATTGTCAAGCCCTGAAGGGTTTGTATACCCAAATGTTTGTGGCTGATCAGGTTCCAGCTCTTCAGGCTATTAAGTCTAAATTAATTGAAGAAACTAAAAGAAATCGTGTTGGTGGGAGGGCCTGGGTAGGGATGGGGGTGGAGGGTAGAAGGTTATTCTCTTGTGAATGATTAAAGAAACTCCTCATTACACTTTTCTTTGTGTCTTTTCTTCTTAGCTGTTGTGTCTGTGGATGGCAGGCCCGTGAGACTCCAGCTCTGTGACACAGCGGGCCAGGTCAGTAAAGTAACTCCTTGAAAATAACTTCTTAAAAGAGGTTATGGGTTTACAAATGTTTTACCAAGGGACTGAGTTATCCTTCCAGGGCATCGTGAGATCATCCTTCTCAAGCTTGCTCTTGGCTGTATCATGAATAGGGAGAGTATAACTACTAATAAACTTTCTGAAAGGTTTGGCCAGGCCCAGCTAGTGGTGACCAAGGTCATTAGACAAGGAAACAATTCTTAAACCTTAGTCTCTTTCTCTATTCACCATGTCCTCGTGTCGTTTATCTTTGTATGAGTGAACTACACACAGTGTAACACTTAGAATCATTGATTTAGAAATGGAAGGGATCTAAGAAGTCGTCTAATATCTATTCCCTTGTTCTACAGAAAGCTGAGGTCCCCAGAGGTGACATGGCTTACCTGTGGTCACACAGGTGGTAAATGGCAGAGCCAGGATTGAACACACATTCTCCAACTTCAAATTCAGCACCTTTTCCCCGCTGTACTAATATATTATATCCTTGAAATGTTAAAAGTTAAATACTGGAAACTCTTCTAGACTGGTATAATTCTATTTTTCCCTAATTAAATTTGATTTTCAGATCTGCATTTTCTCCCTCTCACCGAACTCCCCAACTAAAAAAGCAAGAAAAACAAAATCTGTTACAAACACGTACAATGAAGCAAAACAAATTCCCACACTGACCATGCCACTGCCCTGTTCCCCTCCCCCCCAATTCTGAGTCCATCATCATTCAGAAGGTAGGAAGCATTTTGTGTCCTTGGGAATTGTAGTTGGTCATTGTGTTGATTGGGGCTCCTAAGTCTTTCATAAAATTCAATTTAACATATGTTTATTGAATGCTTGGTATGTGCCAAGCATGATGTTAGATATTAAGAATACAAAGACAAAAATGAAAGTCCCTGCCCTCAAGAAGCTCACATTCTATCAGAGAGAAACAACTTATCACAGATAAATCTACAGAATAAATACAAAGTAATTTTCAGATAGATGGGAGAAGAGTACTAATGACTAGGGGTCTCAAGAATAGTAAAGACCTCTTGTAGGAAATGGCCTTTTAGTTGAGCCAGGGTGCCAAGAGGTGGGGTAGTGGAGAGAGAAGTTGTATTTATTCATGGGTCCCAAACTGTTAGAGAGAACAGCAATTAGTCTAGTTATGGAGAGTGTGTTAGAGGGAATAAGGTGCAGTCAGCATAGAAAGATAGTTAACTAACTTTTATTAAGCAGGCATTGTGCTAAGTACTGGAGATACAAAAATTTAAAAAAAGGCAAAAAAACAATCCTTAATTTCAGTGTAATGGAGGAGACAACATATAAACAACTATATGCAAATAAGACACATTGGAGTAGTCTCAGAAGGAAGACATTAAGATTAAGGAAGATTGCAATAGATTGGAGAAAGATTGTTAAAGGCTTTAAATATCAAACAGATAGCTTTATTCTTGAGTCAAGAGGGAGTCATTGAAACTTCTTGAGCAAAGGAGTGACAAGTTTGTACCTATGCTTTAGGAATGTTACATGTTAACTGTATGTAGGATGGATTAGAAAGAGGAGAGGCTGGATGCAGTGAGACTGTTTAGGAGTCTGGTGAAAAGCCATGTGAGGGATAATGATGAAGGCTTGAGTCAGAAAGGTTGTGATGTTAGTGGATAGTGATGGGGGTGAATGCAAAAGATGTTTCAGAGGTAGAATTGACAAGACCTTGGTAACTGATTGGACAAAGTGGAGTGGTGAGTGAGAATGGAGTTGAGGATAATTCCTAGGTTTTAAATTTGGTTGACTAGAAGAACAGTGGTACCCACAACAGAAATAGGGAAGTTGAGAGGAGAGATGGATTAAGGTGAAAGGTGTTTGGGGCATTGAGTTTGAGGTACATATGGTTACATAACTTAGATCTTTATCAGGTTTGTTAGTTCTTTTTTGAGGGGCATATTGTCGATTTCCCTTAAAAACAAGTCCCCTCTCCTTCCCGGCTCTCTTCTTCTATGATCCATCTTGGGTATAATCTAAATCAGAGTTGTCAAACTCACCTGTGTAAGTGAGGTCAGAACCAGATTAAAATGCAATTGGGAAATGTTTAACAAAAATAAATAAAAATACAATAAAAAGTAGACAATGTTAATTTGTGGTTTTCTAAGGCAATATACATAGGGCAGGAATCCATTTCTGTTTGAGTTTGACACCATTGATCTAAATAATTTTTCTAAAGCTCTCATCTGCTCAAAAAAACTCATGGATCCCTCTTGCCCATAGGATAAAATCACAAAAATCCTAAGCCTAGCATTTAAGGCTGACCACAATTTGGCTCCCATGGAACTTGATCCAACTTCATGATACACTGGCACATGCTCATCTCTTTTTTTCTAGAATGTATGCCTTCCTTATCCTAGCCTCTTAGAATCCTTGTCTTCCATTCAGATGTTTCCTCCTACAGGAAACCTTCCTTGATCTTCCTCAATTGTTAGTTTGCCCTTCTTATTTTCCTTGTATTCTCTTACTTGTATGAGATACCACAAACTCCACCCCAATAGAGTGTAATCTACTTGAGGGGATAGGGGCTGCTTTTCTATTTTATCCTTGTGTTTCCAGTGCCTAGAAAAGTGCTTAGAACATACTAAACACTTCATAAATGTTTGTTGTAATGAATCCAATCTGTATTGGTATATAAAACTACAGATTCTTAAGGTCTATTTTTGATATATCGAATAATATAATATATCTAAGACTCAAGTCTTGGTGTTCAGGAAATATCTCACATTTATCATCATCAGATACCATGTAATTAGTACCTTATTTATGTACATGACCCTGTACAGGACCTTCTAGAAAGCAGGTTGTTAAAGATGATTTTTGTCCCTTAGAAGCTTATAATATTTACAGAGTAATTTATGGTTGTTTCCATTCATTTGCAGTCATTCCACAAGGCAGGTATATATTATTTTATTTTATAATAATGATTTTATAGCTGAGGAATCCAGAAAGTTTCAGTGATTGGTTCCAAGGTCCTAGAGTTAATGGCTGGTAGGGACTAGTCTCTGCATTTTTTAAATCAGTCATTTGGCTTATTTAGCCCCATTATCTTTTAGAACATAGAAACTGCTGTTTAGCATGACCCAAGTTTAGAAGCTAATAAATTGAGAGTTCATGCCCAGTCAGTCTTTTGAAATATTTTGAATATATTTATTCTTGTCTGGCAAAGAATGAGACATTTGCCAAAAGAAGGTGAGGTACTAGGAGTTTTGAGTTGATGGTGTAATAAAAGGGGGATGGGAAGGATTTGGTATCCATAAACTCATGCTTGGATCAACATATTAACCAATGGCAAAGGTAAAGGATATAGCAATACCCTTATTCATTATATAACCCATTCATAGCCAGGTTTTAAATTGTTAGACCATTGAAACTGGTTCCAACCAATAATTTTCCTTTGTTTCTAACAAGTAATTGCAGACCTGGAGAACTGATGGGGTAAAGTTGCACAGTGAGTACCATGAGACATTACGCTGATAACCACATGGCCACTCTGAATGAGGCTAATCTTCCATTTCTGAAGAGATTTAAAGACTGGTGCCATCTGTCACTAGGGCCAAAGCCAGTTCATCGTCCTGGTGCTCCTACTCTGTGGGAGAGTCAAGTAAAGAACTGGAGTGGGGGAGTGCTTCAGACATGAAGGGTTCCAAGGTAGAACCAGCCTGGCCTTCTGTTCACACACTATCCCACTACCACTGTTCTCCTCCCTACCACCAGTGCTGACTGTTTACTTCCTGCTCACTGCCAGAATTCCCCATTTGTGGTGTGTGGATGACATGGGGTGGGTTGGTGGGGGATAGGAAAATGAGGTAAGAAGGGTTACAGAGGCTTCAGTGTTACATTAGCATGAACAAGAAGCAAGAACTGCTGAAGTACAGAATTGAGGACAAAGAAATAAGTACTTTGAAGATTAAGAAGAGGAAAATCTCCTGCATTTTTACTGTAGTTAAATACTGTGGTGATTTTTGTAATGAAAGTTTCATTCACTTTTATAAAGTTAATTTTTTTCATCATATAATGTAAGTTTGCCAACTTGTATAATGTTGATACAGTAACATCTCACTTATTGAGAAATCTACTTATCTTATTATCTTATTGAGAAATCAGAAGCAAGGAGAAGAGGCCTTTGGGGCAGTCAAAAGATGTGATAAAATCAAGGCTTTTACTCTCAAGAGAACTCTTCTCCCTTTCCACCATCCAGAAGATCATAGGTTTAGATCTCGAAGGGTCCTCAGGCCACCCAGGCCAATCTCCTCATTTTCCAAATGAGGAAATGGAGGCCTGCAGAGGTTAAGGAACTTTCCAAAGATCACACATGTAGTTAAAAAAAAAAAGACACTTAGAACCTGTTGACCTTTACTTTAGATGTTATCTATTTTGTCAGGGGTGTGTGTGTGTGTGTGTGTGTTTGTGTGTGTGTGTTTGTGTGTGTGTACAGGGGGTTGAGAGGATGCCAAGCAAAAAGCTGCTCAAGGCAGACACGTTGACAAAAGCAAAACGTGTTTTGTTGAAGTGACAGGAAGAAGAGAGGCAGAAACCTTAAAAAGCAAACAAGAAATCAGAAAGTATAGGATCACTTCATGTGGGGTCAAAGAGCCCTGCAATTCAATTTACAAACATTATTACGAAGTTCTTATGTGCAAGGCTCTTCATACTTCATTAGTTCATAAGGACCTTGCTAACAGCTTAGTACATTAATGCTTGTTTTTGATGGTTATCCTTAGTTACCAAGAAATGGTTAAATTATTTCCAGAATGCTCTGTTGAAGAAGGCAGGAAAGCATTTGTTAGATTTTATAAAGATTGCAATCATGAATGTAGAAAGTGAAACATTTTGGCACATAGCTAAACTTCATTCATGTATTTAATTGAAACGCCTCATATCCATCAATCAACAAGTATTTATTAAATACCTACTCTATGCCAGGTGTTGTAATTGCTGGAGATACAAAAACAAAA